CACCACGTAAAAACACTACATACATATAGGCATGCTGACTTATATAACTATAACATTGTACTAAATGGATCGCGGGTATGGGACAGCGCAATCGACGCGCTTTGTATTTGAGCCTAGCGTGACGTGTCAGTGAGGTAACGAAGCTTCGTTTTCACAGGTCACGTGACAGCCTCATTTCAAGCAATGCTCCGGAACACTATTTCGAATCATAATCGAATGCAACTCATCTGTGATTATGAACGCGAAATTGCAGTGATCTACGGCTCTGTGTATTAAATGCCGCTCCATCTGAAAGCACGTGATGGAGATTTACTATTAATCACAGAACTGGCTTTACTGATGAGATGCACATGACAATCACATGCGATTTATCGTGCAGCCCTAAGTTTGTTTGTTGATCACAAAGTACAAAATAGATGAGGAAAACTAGGATGCCGGGTGTATTCAAAGCTCCGCCATTACTGTCTAGAGTGCGTGGAATGGTGCGCTGTGATTGGTTGAGCGGATATATCACATTCTGCAGAAAAGGGAGACTGGCGTTTGTCGCGGTTTGGAAAGAAAGGGAGAAAACATGACAGAATAACTCGGCGGATATCGCATTTTGAGTAAAATTAAAAATGTACTTTTCAATACCGACCAGATACAATACTGATTTTGGCGGAAACACCATTTAAAAAATAAAAAGGCGTTTATCGCGTTTTGGAACCAAACTCTTCAAATACAGCTGAGCTAAAAAGTAATCACCCACAGCTGGAGGCAATGAGGCTTGATAGTCCAGGCAAAGGGTGATGGGAGTTGGTGTCCAATGCAAACACACTATAGTTCAAAAGAGTGCCCTCTGGTGGCTAACATGGGCACACCAACAGGCAGTTGTGACATGGAGCGGATTCCAGACGCTCCACCAAGAGTCAAAGAAATCCAGGACGGATGCGGAATGGAGGCAGACCAGGGGGAGGGATGGCAGGCCAGGCCCTTGTGGAAGAGGGCCTGGAGACAAAGGTAGGCCAGGGTGCCAAGGCGGAGCAGGCTGCCAGGGCAGGTCTGAAGACCACCACAGTAAGGCCGATGGGACCAAAGACCACCACGGTGGAGCTGATGGAGCTGAGGACCACTTCAGTGGAGCAGACGGAGCCGAAGATCCCCACAGTGGAGCAGATGACCACCAGGGTGGACCAGGCTGAACTGGAACAGAGAACATAGAGAGGTTAGTAGCAGCCTTGATGGCCGCAATAGGACAGGCGAACAGCTCAGCAACGGTCCCCTTGACCGTAATAGGGCACTGAGTGAATTCAGAGGCAGTCTTTGTGACCATAATAGGCAGGGCTAAGAGTTCATGATTGGCTTCTAGGGCCGAAACTGGCATGACGGGATTCATCGTCAGGATAGATGAAGAGTTCATAAGTGGACACCCCTGTATTCAGGTGTAAAGAAAGAGACACATTAAGAACAACTTCACCAATGGTTTATGCTGGTCCTTTTGCTGGTTTATGCTGGTCACGTGCTGGCAAAGGACCAGCATAAACCAGCAAAAGGACCAGCATAAACCAGCAAAGG